CTTGCTATTTATACTTCCAAAAACCCAAATTAAAACAAAACAAACAAAAAAATAATTTGCTACAGTTGTTTTTCTTTTTATGAAGGAAAAATTATAGCGGTAGGTGCAGTTCTTGGCTGTTTCTTACTACTCGTAGAGTACTATATCTGATTTCTGGAAAGTTAGTTGACGATAAATGATAAAGGATGGAAGGAGAATTAAAGCATTGAACAATTATTGCCAATTACTGTTATAGTATATATTTGATTAAAGGGTAAAAAGTTTTGAAAATAAATATCCAAATTAAAAATAAAAATTGAGATTGTCTAAATATTTGATTTAATGGGTGACGTACCGTATGTATTTACTTTTTAATTCGAATCTATGTTTTTAAAAAATTATATTTGATTAAAAAAAACGTTTTAGAATTTGTAAAAGTAATTGGGATATATATAGTTCATTAGGATATGATTATTCATTAAAGTATAGCCGACTATTGTTGATTTTTATCACAAAACAACATTTTATTTATTCTAAACAAAAATAATAATGATAAAAAGTGATTAGGTATGAGACGCAGTTCAAAGAAGCGGCTACAACCTTTGTCGGGAATTATGGAAATAAGCAAAATTTGTCTGGCTGTTGGAATTTCAAATTTTCTTCCCTAAATCTTGATGTCTATTCTGTTTTACTTAAAAAAACAAATACACTTGGAATATCAATCTTAAATCAACTCTCCCTCCGGTATTCTGGGTTTGACCAGCTTTAAGGAATCCAAACTATTTGATTTTTGCTTCCTAAAAATATATATTTAAAACTTATTCCTCATTCCTTCCATATTTAAACTATTTCAATATTTTATCCCATATGGAATATATGTTTAATTTCGTTTTTGGTATTTTTAGGTTTTTAATGAACTTTTAACATTGAATTTTGAAATTTTTATCACAAATTTTGCCTGATTTTGGTATTTAGATTTATTTTAGGAAAAAGCTTCAAATTTGTTTCTTAACTTGAAATTTTAAAAAATTCTAAAATAAAAATTTTATTATGATACACATTTTGACTCATATATTTAGAAAATTATGAAACGTAAAAAGAAATGAAAAAGCATGCAACATCCAGAAAAACATATTCTATAGTATTTAATTCGAAAATAGTCAATAAATGTTTAGGGTAAATTAAGTAAACATTAGATTTCAAATTTGCAATTAAAATAGAAACAGAAACAGTATAATAAATTACAAATAACTCAAAAAATGTTGTCTTAAGGGTTTTTTGTTTTTCCATTATATTTTCTTAAGAAGATTGATGAATGTGATGTTTTGAAATACATAATTTATATGGAAAATGATCAAATTTTACAGTTTTTTTTATATATTTATCCTAATATTGAATATACTTTTCTATGGTCAAACTACATACTTCCATATTTGTGTGTTTAAGTGAAGCACTTCGTGAATGGACTTTTTGTAAGGGAAGAACACCCAAAAAAAAAGCAAAAAAAGAAAAAACCTTTCTCTCAATGACAAGGAATTAAACTATTAATAGTCTGGCAAGTCAAAAAAATTCTTATCAAACTGAGAATGGGATATGAAAATTTGGCAAATGTGGGTCACAGTCACATTCCTTGACAGCCTACCATAATTTAAAGGACAAAAACGAATTATTTATGTTATTTTTTTATTGGAATTATTTATGATATTAATAAAAAAAAAAGTGGAATAGTTTAGTAAAGCTAATGGGCAAGAAATTTGGCGCGTATGGAAAAGCAATTGTAAGTTGCTTAACCAGATGTTAAAAAAAAAAAAGAAAAACCATGCCACTTGTTTTACGGTTAGATGATTCACGTGGTGTTGGGGTCACCCCAATTTGTCCCATACTCTCCTTGAGAACTGTGTTTCCTATGATTTTTGCCACTTGGAAATTCCAATTCCATTTCTATTTTCTCAGTAAAGCTGAAAGTACTTGCAATATTATTTTACAAATTGAACCACAAACGTAGATTTTGGCCAAACAAGAAGGAAAAACCTTAGATTTTTGTATTGATTACCTTTTTTCCATCATAAAAATTACTACTATTTTTAATATTATAGAGCTATGAAATGGACCTGCATTCCCTCATATATGTAAAAGAAGTAAAAATGGACAATATTATTGTGAATAATAGAGCTGCTTTGTTCATTGAATTCAAACACTGATGGTCATGGTACCTCTTTCTGAAACTGAGTTATCATCAACTTACAGATTACATAATCAGGCTGCCACATAAGGCTGCAACTTCCTTCTGACATTATTTTCCCTGCTATTTGCTTTCCCTGTGACGCAATTTTACCAAATGGAATGGCTGGGAATCACAGAAGCATGCAAATCGTGGCGAGTGACATGTTCCTTTACATTTTTACCTTGGATCAGCGCTGTAATTAAAAATGTTGGATGAACACATATTTGTCATGCTTTTTCGACCAAATTTGTTGATAAATCTTTTATACAGAGGATCAAGTTTTATTTGTCATCCTTTTTTCTCTTGTTCCTTCGTAGCTTCCTCAAGGAGAGGATCAAGCTTAACTAGACACCTCTCTAATCCTCACAATTTCAATATTCCTTTTCAACATACGAACTAATAATACATTAAGGAAATCTGAATACCAAGGGATCATGCACCCCAAAAAAAAATTGATCTGAGAGGATTAGGTTGACCCATAAAAATTATTGATAACTATGTAGGGTTCACAGGACTCCTCAGTCGTCCACAGGAGACTGTCAGTAAACGGTTAAACGACTTAGGTTTTCTAGGTGATGCAGCCTTTGCTTGTTTGGTTCGGTACGTGTATATATTATTTTCCTTGGCATGTGCTTCGAGCAGTAATAATATTTTGTATCTGATTTGGCTAGCTCCCAAAAGCCAACACACTTCCATGTTTCCCAGCGCCCAGATCACCAATGATTCACTTGCGAAAGTACATGCATGTCCACAATTTCATTATATATTTGTACTATATTAGAAATTTGCTGTTGGTTTTTTTTTTTCTGGTAAATTTCTATTGATTGATTGCACCAATTCGTGCTTATCGAGGAGAGGGGATTTAAAAGATTGTTGGTCATCTTGAATATGCAACTCTTCGGTTTCTTTCACCCTCAACAGGCTTGAAATTACTACTATATTGAACATCGATTGTGAGTCATACATACAATCGACAGCATTTGGAAACAAAAACAAAAAATTACACCAATTTGATATTCTCCTAGAAGATGCCTATGAAATTATACTGTTTACACATTGATTGTTAATGGAGATGGTATCCATTATTGCACCTTGTGGCATAGTACATGTCCATATATAGGTTAATATACTGACCTTACAGATCTAACTTAGTAGCTATTCAAATAATTGTATGACACTCATAGAGCTTAGATGTCCCAGCTAACATGAATTTGAGTTTCATCATACATGTGTTAGAACTTAGACCGCTTCTCAGATCAACATCAAATATTATTAGGGTACCACATTGCCCTTAGAATAGATACCATACCTCGGTATAATTGTGTAATCGAAGTTAAAATTTATAGAAAGTTATTGATTAAACAAAAACGAACTTATTAATAATAAATGAACATCATTCTTGAAACAATAATTAATATCACATAAATTTAAGCATTTGGATTTTGATGTATGGTATTTAAATTGTTGGCAGTGATTCACTTTTAAAGAATTGAGACTTTAGCTCTCTCTCATCTTTATCCAAAATGGTGATGCGTGGAAAAATGAAATTCTTGCACTTCCATTGAACTCTTCATATAATAAATTGTCGAGTACAATATCCTCATTTTTTAAATTTTAATTAAAATTACACAAAAATTTATTAATTTTCAAAATGAATATTCTGTCTCAGATATCTAAACGATTTTAATGTTAAATATGAAATATCTAAAATATTTTTTTCCTTTTTCTATTGTTTTCTTTCTCTTAAGCTAGCCAACGACATCCCTTGCACCAATTGACCGCCCATTGAGAGCACCAAATCAGTGCTCCCTGAGAGCATTGGAGCACCAATCGGGCTCCCAAAGTAATTTTTAAATTAATAAAAATTGATAAAATTATATAATAATAATTTTAAAAATGAATAAAAAGTAAAATTATTTTTTTAATATTATCACATCATCAAAGTAACAAAAACATTTATGATCGATTAACAGCTGAATTTATGTGTTTAGAAAAAAAAATTTTAAATAAAGTATTTATTTAAAAAACTAATAAACTTTCATATAATTTCAATCAAAACTTAAAAAGATAAAGGTATTTTATCATGCTCAAGACATAATGCACAACAGTGCATGTAAATAGACTTAATTAATTCCATTTGGGTTTACTTTCATTTTAATTTACAGGGGCAAATAGAATTGGGATAATATCAAGTGACAGCGTAGAAAAAGAAATATAGCACTAATTAATTCTTAATGTCAAACTAAAGACAAATTAGGCATTAATATTTTCTCCAGCCTAGTCTTGAGGAAAGTGAAGAAAGAAGAAAGCACATCAAGCCTAAGTTTTAGGGGGGGGGGGCACATCGGCATGGGACCTGATCAAGAAACATTAATTTTCCTTTATGATGGCACCAATTTAAGCAATGGAAAGAGAAGAGATAGAGAAAAAAGGGGTGCAGTGTATCTGATGATCCATTAGTAATAACAATACTATTAAAGAGGTTATGAAAATGAAGAAAGAACCTGACAGAGTATGATGCTAAGCCATCCTTTTTCGGTTAAGACAGAATTGTGGGTCAAAGCTTTTTCAGGGCCAAGGGAATTAAATATTAAATTTGTCTGATTGATAGTTTCGGTGAAAAAGACATGAATTCACCTTGAGATAGAGAAAGAAGCAGATTCCATTTTTAATCTTGGGCTTTTTAGTGTAATGCATTTGCAATAAGAAAGTAGTAGTAGTAGTAGTATCATTTTATTTATTTATATATATACATATATAAATGTTTATATATTCTAACCTGGTGCAACTCCACGTTATTAAGCTTGCTATTTGGATCAGTCTTCATCGAGACTTTTTTAAGAGAGAGAGAGAGACAGAGAGAGAGAGAGAGAGAGATGGAGCTCTCACAGCATGGTTTCTTGGAGGAGTTATTGGCTCCAAGAAGAGACAGTTGGACAACTTTTTCGACTGGGGTTACTGAGTTCCTCCCTAATGGATGGAACTTTGATTCTTTTGATGAGAATCCAACTTTGGCTACATCAAATCTTTCCTTTGTGGGATTCTCCCACCCAACTGAAAACCCCAGCTTTGAATGTCCTTTCGGTGAGCATCAACCCTACCCTTTTGCTGATGGATTTACAGCCCCAGAGATGGATTCTTCATATACCAAGAACGACACATCTCCTTTTCCAGCTCAAGAAGACTACCCATCAATGGTTGATGATGAAGAGTTTGGTCTTCTCAGCAGTGATCATCAACACAGCTTGGAAGAAAGAAAGAGTAGCTGCAAAGTTGAGATGGAGCAAACTAGCAACATTCAAAGTTTTAACATGGGCTTGTTTGGAGAGAAAAAGACTAAGACAAAGAGGTTAGAAGGTCAGCCCTCGAAGAATCTAATGGCAGAGAGAAGAAGAAGGAAGCGACTAAATGACCGACTTTCAATGCTCAGATCAATAGTCCCCAAGATCAGCAAGGTGACCCTGGTTTTTTTTAATTTGTATAAGTTTCATTTTTAGCATTATAGTAGAACACAAAGGAAGTATTTCATTTCAGAATTGTGCAATCTTTTAAAAATACGTAGGCTTGTTTTAGTAAGTAGAAAAGCGTTCTGAAACAGAATGTGAACATAACAGATGGACAGAACATCTATACTTGGAGATACCATAGATTACATGAAAGAGCTTCTAGAGAGGATCAATAAGCTGCAGGAAGAAGAAACAAAAGTGGGTAGAGATCAAGTAAGCTTAATGAGTAACCTGAAGGAGCTAAAGCCCAATGAAGTAATGGTAAGAAATTCCCCCAAGGTAAAGGCTTCTGCTCTAGTTCTACAATAACCCATTCAATCAACAATTAATTGAAGACTCAGTTCCTATACTGAACTTCTTTTCGTGTAATGAAAACACAGTTTGATGTAGAGAGGAGAGAAAACAATACTCGAATCGATATCTGCTGTGCGACCAAACCAGGATTGCTGCTATCTACAGTGAACACATTGGAAGCACTAGGCCTTGAGATTCAACAGTGTGTTATAAGTTGCTTCAATGATTTTTCAATGCAGGCTTCTTGTTCAGAGGTATGCTTCTTTACTTTAATTTTCTGAACTTCTGTGCAAGTTTTAAACTCAGCAAACGTTTTCTTCAACAATGTGTATTTCTTCTAATGTATTAGGTAGCAGAGCAGAGGCCATTGATAAGTTCTGAAGACATAAAGCAAGCATTATTCAGAAATGCAGGCTATGGAGGAAGATGTCTGTAGAATAGGAAGGAGGAAAATAAGATGGTCATCTAGAAAAGGCTAAAGAAAGGGAATTTCCCTGAATTTGTTCTTCAAGGAATATTGCAAGTGAGAAGCTGTAATAACATTTTTCCTTTTTCAATAAGCTCTGTTCATTCATCAGATCCATCTCACAACCTACCGTGATTTATCTACCCCTTTCTGGAGCATCTTATAATATAAATATCATTTGTTCCTCCTCTACATTATTCCAATAGGTCGACATTAAATGGCTGAGAAAGAATTTTGTTCATATTTCTAATGTTATAAGAATGTATCCAGAGCAATGTGTGCAGAAATCAATTTGTGGTTTATTAATGTTCTTTCTGTAAACTTACCATTATAATTCTGCATTTCCTATTGCTGCAGCAGACACAACCAACCAATAATTGAAATTTAGATAGGTAAAAGACAGTGACATATTGTCCCTAAATCTTAAAAAGTATCTGATATGCTATTGTAAATTACAGAAAACAAATCATATTAATAAGAGCATTACTTATCCGGAGAAGCAAATGTACACATCAATAACATCATTTTCTACAAATAAAACTGTCAAGCAATAGGTCTCTTTCAAAGCATGTCACAATGCCAACAGTTAATGCGGATACTCATCTGAAATAGGTTATCTTCTCAAAGTTTTCCTTTCCCCTCTTTGGGTCCTATTATCACTTCTCTCTAAGTTAGTTTAATTATTAATTTCATTATTAGGCAGTAAGACAAAGAAACTGCAACTTCATGGTGGTACAACAATCCAATCTATGCCCGTGACAACAACTGCACATGAGCAAGCTCACTTTTCTTGTTATCAGTACTTCTTTCTTCTGTTTCTTTTTCCCTCTTTCTATTGTCAATCTAGTTGGTACAAGTTAAAGTAGAAAACTTAAACTAATTAAACCAAATAATATAGTAGTGTTTAGACTATTCGCCACAATCAAGATGCCCAAGGGCAATGCTCAATCTAATATTCCACAAAAGTATGATGACATAAAAGGGTATATAAGTAACTGAGACCGAGACAGAGATTGAGAGCAAGAAAATTGAGAGGCCCTTTTGTTTTCCACTGTGACATTTTGTATCTAAAATAATTGATGCTCTGCAGGGTTTCCTCTTCTTTACCCTTCTTCAACAAATATGATTAGCTGTAATTTCTAAATCAAGAAGGTTGCCCACGAATGTTGGCGAGGGACCAGCCGCAGGGATTGAAACATTTGAAGCTTACAAGAAAGAAAGATTTCTGCATTGAAATCCTGTATAAAGAGAATCTAGTTGCAGTAAAAGGGCAGCCTTATAAGCATATGATGTGATGCTCTGCATACTGCTTAGTGGGAATCAGTAACAGCAATTCTATACACAGAATCCCTTGTTGCAGAAGCCAGAAACTAGATCCACAAGTCTCATTTCTTTATTTCTTTTTACTCATTTTGTAGTATACACCACAGAAAAACTAGCATCCTCTGGACGATCACTGTGGCACTGTCCTTTCCACATCTTGCCCTATTTGTTTCACATAGAGAAGCATGGTTTCCACTATTATAAACTACATTCTGTTATTCGTAATATAAACTGGAAATTGGCAGCCAAAAGTTTGAAATGCCAACAAAAGCATTTGAGACATGGCATTCATAAGTAAATATCAATGCATTTTCTCAGAATCAGACCGTCGTTCACAGAAATGCTAATAAGAACAATTGAGATAAGGGTTTTTAAGCAGGAACCGGTTCATTTTCATCAAAAGAAGACGAGGTCGGATTCTGATGCACCTGCCCATCTTAACTTCCACATACTTCTCACTTCTCCTGATGAACTTTCTCAACATTTAGTTTCTGAAACTTACCTGTAATCTGCATTAACATCAGCTCACAATGTCTAAAAATTCCATAAAGGCAACCTTAGATTGCTAAGTCTTTTAAGAAGCAGTCCTTGAAATTAGTAATTTGAATATTTTTATGTCGGTAGATTGCATATGTTTATTCATGTATCTTGAATTAATGTGTTCACATGTCTTATCAATTGTGATTTATGTAACTAGATATAAAGAGTCACTTATTGTACCTATAAACCCTCCCTTTTACTTGGCGATTGGAATGCAAGTGAGTGAAAAGTTTCAAAAGATTTTCCTCTTCCCCCACCAAAGTGGTATCAGAGCAACTATTCTTAGTTTGAGAGATGACAAGTAATGGATTTTATTCCTTCCAATTTCCTCGTCTTACAAAAGAATATTATTATAATTTGTGGCTTGTTGCTAAAGGCTATAAGCAAAAGCATGGAGTTGACTTTGAAGAGGATTTTGCACCTGCAGCTGGCATGAAGACTATTTGTTTGCCAATCTCCTTGGCGACTCGAATGAAAAGGAGAACTTATCAGCTTGATGTAAAGTTAGCCTTCCTAAATGGGTATCTTGAGGAGGAGGTATATGTTGAACAACCGACGGAGATGTGGTTAAAGGACATGAAAATAACGTCTTAAGATTGAAGGAAGTATTTTATGGATGGAAGCAAGCACTGGGTGCATGGAATAGTCGCATTGAGACAAGTACTTCCAAAAACAATGGGTTTGTTCGTTCCTTCATGAGCATTCTACTTGTTTGCCTTTATGTGAATGATCTTGTTTTTACCTATAATAATGCAAGTTCGCTTGAATAATTCGAGAATGCTATTCGGGCCTTGAGGTGAAGCAAATGGATGATGGTATTTGTATCTCACACGAAATCTATACGAAGGAAATGTTGAAAAAATTCCATATGCTTGATTGCAACCCAATGACCATATCCCATGGAATATGGAGTAAAGTTGTCAAAATTTGACAATAGAGAGAAGGAAAATCCTACTTTATTTAAAAGCCTTGTTGGAAGTTTGAAATATTTGATATATATTGTTGCAACGTTTCATACTTGTCATGCTATTCGGCTTTGCAGGTTGAAGAAGGAACTGCAATTATCCAGGAGGAAGCTACGAAGATTTCCATTGACAACAAGTCCACATAAGCACTTACTAAATCTGGTATTTCATGATAGAAGCAAGCATATAGATGCAAGCTATCAATTTATTAGAGAATGCAACCAAAAAGAAGTGAAGCTCAAATACGTCAAGATTCAAGATCAGTCGCAGATGTTTTTAAAAAGCTTCTCAAGTATGAAGATTTTAGCAAATTGAGAACAAAACTTAGGGTTACGAAAAAAAATTTAAATTAAAGGAGTGTTGAAGTTAATAATTTGAAAATTTTTTTACATGTTTACATTCATTTTTTTTTTGTTTAAAATTCATTTATCTTTTGATTTTTTCAAATTCACCAAGTAAGTATACTGTATATGTTTATTTATATATTTTTGAGTTAACGTGATTCATGTAATTAGACGTCAAGAGTCACTTATTGTAGCTATAAATACTCTTTTATACTTGACAATTGAAACGCTAGTGAGTGACACAAGTGCGAAAATGCTCTTCCCCCAACAGCGGGGGCATGTTTCAGATTTCATTTAAGTATGATAAATGGAATAACATAAGACGGTTGATTTTTCTTCGAAGAAAGGTGTGTGCTTTTACTAATATATTCCTTGAACTATGATAGAACAAGGTCTAGCACAGCTGGTTAAGATAACTATTTTGCTTTCTCTCTTTCTATTGGGCAATTCCTCAAAGCCTGTCCATACTTTTCATCCCCAAAGCCTGTTTTTTTAAAATTTCCATTAACCCAGTACACAATTTATTCCTAGTACTATTAATTATGACAAAATGCTATTGCATACGTTTCTTAACATCTTCCCATTTGTTATTACACACAGAACACCAGCTTGGGACCTTCTACATCAAAACCCAAACCTTTCCTAAAACTCATTATAAACTAATAATCTAACAATCTCATTGCTGAAAATGTTATAAACAAAAAAGGAGATTATTATTAGGAACAAATTTACAACATGGACTTTCTAAAATTCGGATTCAGGCTACATAAAAGGGTCAAAAGTCATCAGCTACATATGACAGCTACAATTAGCATGCTAGTTATTACAGATTTTGATACAACTAAAACAATTTGCTAAAGCTGAACTTCACCTTCATCATCACCGCTACCTACTTCTTCATGATCACTATCCAAATCCAAAGAGTTGTCCACACTGGTGGTCTGCAGGTGTTGCAGCTGGTTAATAACATATCTTGCATCAGAAACCAATGTGTTTTTCGCTGCTCTAACCTTGTCTACGTTCAGAACTTGAATAGGTACGCTATTCTCCTTCCCAGATTCTGCTTTTCTCTTAGCTTCCCTACTAAGCAGCTGGTCGATGTATTTCTCATGTAAGGCCCTATTTTTAATCTGCTTCAACACTGGGGGACTAACAAGATCTTTTTTAGAAGCGTTACCAAGTTTTGAATGGTGCTTCGTAGGACCAGGAGAAGATCTCTCATAACACTTCTGGAGAAATCCCTGTTTTTCCAACAAATTTTTTGGGGTCGAAAGCACAACATTCGATAGAGCATGCATAGATGGACTTGTGTTGGGCTCAAGAATAGAGAATAGATCCGCTTCATCACCTCGGTCCGAATGATAATGCTTTTGCAACAAATGTCTCACCGTTTTTTTCTGTACAAGATGGCTTTTCTGTTTACTGCAACTTGACCTTTTAGTCCTTGGCACAGTGGGATTAAGCAGTCTGCTTGCAGAGAATGACAAAGGTTCAGTGGGCGATACATTTATTCTTTTTGCCCTAGATCGAGGCTGGGGTTGAATTGGAGTTAAATGGTCAGAGTGGATTTTATCAAAGCAATCCTGTGCAGATTTTCCTGGCACCTGCAATAGAATTCCAATTCGTAATCAAATGCTGAGTCAATGCTTTCAGAAAAATCATTCTAGGCAAAACACCTCAGCATATAAAAGCACATAACCCAAAACTTACAGCATAAGAGCTTACGCAAGATTAATCACAGCAGGAAGTCTTTGGATAACAGTAGATTTACAAACACAGATACTACTCAGTAAATTTATGAATAGTCATTCACATCCAAACATAGCTGATAGCATAATGTACTACATTCACATCTATGCACAACTGAATGTAACATAATGTACTAGTATTGGTTTACTTGGTTTAATGGTGTAAACTTATAATTGATTTTCCTTCCTTTTGTTGATAGAATGTTGTCTTCTATGATGACAAAACTTGACACTTACACAGTGGTTTATATTCAATATTAAATCAATAGATGTTCAACCAACTTTGGGAAGGGCAGTTCTCTTTCTCGCACAAATAGCCATAATTTCATGCTCCAATTGTACAACT